CGGGAGAATTCGGAAATGCAACGGTTGGATCAGCCGCTTCCCTACGACTTTAATTAAAGGTACTGGTATTTTAAACAAAAAAGCACATGCACAACCCTGTACCCGCTCTTCAGAAGGAACACCTGTTAAAAGTTTATGCTCAGAAACCAGGTTGTCTGTGCGTCTGTCGAATTTAACGCAGATCTGACTGTGTTCATTATTATTCCCTCACTAAATGAGAAAAGTTGTACTTTATTATTATCTAGACATTATTAATAACAGGAGGTGAAATGCAGCTCTAGATGAGCGGGCATGTGGTGATGTCATCAGTACGCTTCTGTTCCATTTGACCCATATCTATGCTGCGTGCTCCCGTTCTCCCCGAGTCCAGACTTTCCTGTGTTCTAGTGAATTGAGAAACGGCCAAAATATGCCTGATAAGTTTTAGACTGTCCTGATTGCCGTACGTTTGACCCGGTTATCTGAGGTGTTTCAGCTCCGATTTTTCTCCTGTTGCCGTTTCAGTTTCAGCCACAGCGTTTTACAAAGCCCAGCCGGTCATCCAGTTCATGTGTGAGGTGCTGGACATCCACAACATGGACGAGCAGCCGCGCTCGCTGCCGGACTCCCACAGGGTCAAGTTCACCAAAGAGATCAAAGGTATGTGACCGCTGTAAGTACCAGATCTGCTCGGGGCCCCGCCCCTTCCTATGATGTCATCACATGGCAACTCCACTCGGATTACACCTGTTTCTTAAGGATCAAATCTTTTTTGGAGTCTCAACATATCATTTTTTCTATATTTGCTTTTATTTTACATTTCATTGATGATCTAAAGAAGCTGAAAGTAGAAAACAATCATTGTCAGTCTGGAAGGAAAGTCCTGCCTCCTAAGACAGACTGAGTTCTGCTATTTAACAAGGAGACAAAAAAAAGTCTCAGCTTATTTTTATTCTTTTTATTAAGCTCTGAGGGCAGAGGATGACAATGGGACATCCTAAAAAAATGACTTTGTAGAGATTTTAGACAAATAAAACAGTTATTTTACTTGTAGGAAACAAACAGTTGTTGTTGACATGAAGCTAAAAGTTATGTAGCTTAATCTGGCTAACTGACTGAGCTAAAAGAGGCTAACCGTTAGCTACAGCTAGCCACAGCGCTACCGAGCTGTCCCCCTTTATATCACGGTCTAACAGTTACTTTGTTCACCAGAAACAGAAAATATTTTCAGTTTTCTTATCGATCAGGTAAAACTTCATCGGTCATTAGACGCGCTAACGCAGCAGATGCTCCCGACTCGGCACACGGACACTGCGTGATGTTATTGTCGTTGTCTAGGCAACCACAGTGTTTTAAATTTCGTGGCAACGTTCAGCCAATCCTGTAGTGTAACATCACTGGCATGAAGCAGGACCCAACAGATCTGGTAGCCTCAGCTGAAGCGAGTCCAGCACCGGCCTCCTCCATGTTTATTTCATGTTTAACATATTCAGACTGTTCCTGATGTTCTTTTAACGTCTCCGCAGGTCTTAAAGTGGAAGTCACCCACTGTGGAAGCATGCGCAGGAAGTACAGAGTGTGTAACGTCACCCGGCGGCCTGCCAGCCTGCAGACGTAAGTCTTCACACTTATGGAGGGAATTTTGTTTCATTTTTGCTGCAAGCAAAGAAAAGATTTAACCAAAAAAAAAAAAATACAATCCAGGAATTAAACTTTGAAAAAAATATTAATCATAAAAAAGGCTTTGATTGAAACTTTGTTTGGTTTTATTTTAAATTTACAGATTTTATATTTCAAAATGTTTCAGATTCCTCTTTTTCTGATAGTTTTTTTTTATTTTTTGTTTTTATTCCAATTTC